GCTGGGCTCCTGGCGGCCAGGGGCGCCGCCGCGCTCCCCCTCAGGGGGACGGGCAGGCGGCCGGCAGGCTCTCTGGCTGAGGGACGGTCAGCGGGAGCTTCTTCCCAGGGAGAAAGGCTTTCACCGGAGCTCTTGGGTGGCATCAGTTCCAGCCCTGGGGAGATCCCTCCCTTCCCCCAACTGAGGCTGAGCCGGGGAGGCGTTTTCCTGCTTGCACGCTGGATGCTACGGGGAACTTTAGAGGGCCGGGCTGCCTCCCTCTGGTTTGGACGTCACCTTCTGCCCCGTGTGATCCAGAGAGTAACATCTGGAAAAGCCATGGTTTCTTTAAGCAGAGGATACTGTGAGGCTGAGCATTACCGTGGAGGCCCATCTTCCCCGGAGGGTGGAGGCCCAGGGTGGGAAGATGTCAAGAAGCCAATAGAAGCGAATACGTGTAGCTCGGGGTTGAACTGTGGAGTCCTCGGTTGCTTTCTTGCAGATGTTTTGCTACCCGGCTAGGCTAGCCACGTAACAAAACGTCTGCAAGAAAACAGCCAAGCTCAGAGAACCCCACGGACTCCAGGATGTCAAGAAGGGCAGAAGGGAAAGAAGTTTATCCTGCCCTGCTGTGACTCTGGAGGCCACCCCCTTGGCTTTGCCCCACACATCTGGCTGCCCAAGCAGAGCAGCTAAGGGCATTCCCCCCAGAGCCCCCACTGCTCTTGGAGGGACAAGTCATCCAATATCATGGGATGGCCAAGTTCTTTGGTGCAAGAGATGGAAAATCCCCCAGGCATCTCTCACTCCTTGGCTGCAAGAATACAGTTGTAATAAATCTGATTCTGTGTATACATCTGCATGTATTTCTGTGTTTGTGAACATGCCTTTCCTGAACTTTAAGGGATGATCTGCATTTGTCTTGGGCCTGGTTCAACTTGTTTGTGTTTGAAAAATCCTCTGTGTGAGTTCTTCTGAACTAAATACCTTTTATTAAGCATCTTTGTGCTAGTCATGGTGCAAAGGCACCATCCAGGGCAGAGTGGATTTCCCAGGCTCCTTAAATGTGCCTGCCAGGATGCAATTCCCCCAGGGTGTAGAGACCCGCTCCAGGCACTTTGTCGGTGCAGCTCTTGTTGGTCCTGTGAGCTTGGGGGTGGAGGAGGAGCTCTGTAATTTGCCTAATTAATTGGCAATCATAATCCTTACATGTTTGCAAAGTCATTCCATTTCTCCTAGGCCTCCCCTGTCACTACTAATTAATGTGGCGCTTTTTTGCTAATTTCCATTGGGACAAGGAGAAAGTGGCACTTGCTCTAATCCTGCTTTCTTTGAGAGCGAATGTCCTCGGCAGTTTTCTACGCAAAGTAACTCCAACTGAATTCAGAGGGGCTTCCTCTCACGGAAGTGGGAATGCAATATGAAACAGTCCCACCCTTCCTGCTATTGTGTAGCCTCCCAGTTTCGCCAGCGGGTCATTGGGAGCTCCCCCCCCCCACTTGTTTCAGACTGGGGGCCACTGGCAGGAGAGCGACCCTCGATAGCCCAGGATCCGCTTCTGCCTTTCTCGCTGCCTCATGCTTTACGGCTCGGCAGTCATCAGCACAAGGGCCAAGCCAGGGCACACAAAAGCAGGTTAAGCTTCATTTGCACTGCTGCAGTTGCCATTCTGACCTTTTTGACCGTGCCCTGCAGACCCCCCAGTCCGAACCCTGGCTCAAGCTAAGCCGCATTGGGGTCAACATCTGAACTGACATCTGATATCCAGCACGTTGCCACGCACATCATGATGCCACTTGCACGATTATGTCATGGCACCTACGATGTGACTAGCCCACCTTTGCCCCCTACCTTCTTTGCTTGCATTTGCACTGGAGGGGGAGCATTTCCGACCCAGCTCCACCCTGTTCCTCGGTGCCCCCAGCAACCTCGAGGCGCTGAGATGTGTTGGTCATGATCGCTGGAGGGCAAAGGGGGTTCCTTGGGACGTCTGGCTCTATGTCTGCGGGCATTTGGAGAAGCCGTCCTCTCCCTAAGAAAGAAGGGCTCTTGGATGCTTCGTTAGGCCTACTCTTATCGTCGCTGCTTAACTGCTTGAGGTGAAATGTTCACAGAGATAGCTTGCCCTCAAAAGCTTTGTTGTTTTGGGGATTTTTTTTCCCTAGAAGAAAAGTACTCTGTACACTCTCGGGAGTACTCTGTCTTCGGATCTACCCTTGTCTTGCTCTCTTTCTGCCTGCAGGCATTTCCAAAAATGGGCAAATTAGTGCTGAACCTGATTCAGTGGACAGAAGATTTGCTTCACCTGCAGGGAAGTGAGCTATGAGGAGGCGTGCTTTCCCCCCAAAGACCTGTGAGGACATCTCCTTCTGCTTCTTTAGGGCGCTGGCTCACTGGACGAGGCAAGGGACCGATATCTGCCTGGCATTGCCCCAGGGCCTGGGAAGGGTGGAGGCGTTTCCCTCTTTGCCTTGGAAACAGAGCACATCCTTCAAGCATCAAGCAGTCCGTGGCATCCTGGGCCACGAACCAACCACATCTTAGCCTGCCGCATTGCACAGACCCAGCCTGGTAGTTAGCACATGGTTCAATGCGTGGTGAAATCCAGAAAGTCAGGTTAATAGAGTAAATCAGTTAACCATGGTAAGATGTCCTGGAAGCTGTCATGGCATCAGCCCCTTTTCTGGGTTTGTGTAAGATGTGAAACGTCAAGGACCAAAGCAGCTGGTTTGCACAACAAGCTAAGTCACCCAAATGCTCACCCACAAACCTCACCAAACTTGGCATGTGGATTTGTGCATACTCAGACACTCGGTCCGTGTGTGTGATTCACATACAGACACACCTGCTTTTTCAGATAATCCGGGTCAGAGCGGTCCAGCAGGAAAGTGACTCCTTGGGTGAATTTTCCTGGGTGCCACTAGAAAGCAGCAACTCCTCAGTGAGAAAATTGAGCTGGCTTGGCGTTGCCAGAAGACGAGGCGGCAAAGGCAGATTTGCTGAGGCAGCGGCATCTGGAGAAGCCTTTTGCCCTGAAGCCCGAGCGGGCCGGGCCCTCTGGTTAGTGGTTGCTGGCCGCTTTCTGCCCGTCAGGTCTGAGAATAGCAAATGGGCTTCATGCCCGGCTGCTGGGAACAAGGGCCAGCCTGCCTGTCTGACTGACTGGCATCCAGCCCCACTTCCTGCCTGTTCTGAGTGCCAGATTCAGAGGGCTGCCTAGGAGGAGCAGTGCACCGCTCGCCCGTGGCCAGAGGAAATCTCATAGCGGAAGAGCGCTCAAGGGTCCCTTCCGAGCCTTCCCCGCTGTGCCACAGCTGCTTCCTGCAGAAGACTGTGATGCCAGCTGGGTCCTCTGCAGATGTAATGGTACGTAGGAATGACCTTGGGAGATGTTGGGAAGAACCACAACCTGGGGAACAGTCAGCTAAGAGGCAGAGGAGACCCCAGAAGGAATGGGGCCCTGGCAAACATCTCAGAAGGACCCTCCCTAGTTTCTCGGGCTGTAAAGGGGCCTGGGTGGGGCAGGGAGATGGACTTGAGGCTTGCCAGATTCTGTTAATGTAACCTTCAGTAAAGGAGAGCTGGTTCAACTGGGTGTGCTTCTTGTCTGGACTACCTCGCAAGGCTGGCAGCGGAAGAGCAGCAGGCAGCAGCGGCTCCAGGTGGGTGATTGCGAGGCTGAGGGAGGGGGGCCTTGGCTGGAGGGGAACCCAAGGGGCTGGGCCACCTTAAACCTTCTGAGTCTGGTGGGGGGCAGGGATCAGTCTCCTTCATGCTGATTAAAAGTGGAGGCAAAGGAAGGTTTTATTCACATTTTTGTTATATTTGAAAGGCCCTCTGCCTCGTGTTCCAGCAGAGGCGGGTTCAGGGCTCGGTTCCATCAGATCCACTAGGCAGACCCAGCATCACCGAGGCCTTTACACCGGCCGCATCTCCGTTAACTGCCCAGTTAGACTGAACGGGGCCATGTGGTTCGTGGTTCCAGCTACGGTAGCAACAGGCTCACCCCCTTAAGCCACAACTTAACATGCTTGGCTGTAGCATTGTGATATAAAAACAGCAGCCGATTTAATAACTTGCGTTTGGCATATTGTTGGAACCAGCCGCTGTGTCCAAAACACTTGGTTTCTAGTAAGTGGGCTTAGAGCTGCAATCTGGAACCCCCTGCTCCAAATTTAGTGCTTTTTACGATGCCAGCAAGGGGGGTATTTCAGTGCTCAGTGTCTTGAAGGAGGGGTAGCTGCAGCCACTGCAACGGAAACTGTCTTTGGTACCCCACTTTGGTTGAGCTGTCTGTAGTCACGGAGCAAAGAGGGAGGGGGCCAGAGGGTCTGCCTGCCTGAGGTCTTCAGAGCGGAGGAATCCCACCTACACTCAGGTCTGTACAGCCTTCCACCCCTCCCCACACTGTTCTGCCAAATTTGGAGAAAGGGGCGACTGAACCCTGTTTCTTGGGGGGGACAACTGCGTCCTGCTCATGGGCTGCTGAAAGCTCTTTCCGATTCAGTGGTGCCTACAAGAAGTAAAACTAAAAACTGCCCCAACATTTGCTGACCTTGAGCTGCAAAAACACGAGACACATTTTGAGAGTCACGTTTCCATGCTTTTAATTATGTTTCCAATGGCAAGGCACGACAATAAAGGCTGGGCTGAGACGGAAGGGCCATCTGCTCCAAGTGGCTCTTGGGGAGGGAAATGCCTTTGAAGTTGGAGGAGAGGAGAACAAAGCGCTGCGTGAAAGATCTTAAGGCATCCGCGGGAACAAATCTTCCACACAAGGTGACAAACCTGACCGTGCTCGAAGTGGAGAAGAAGGTCCTTGGCCGATCAAATACATTTGCCGCCGCTGTTAACAGGGGGAGCTGGACACTAATCCACGCCTCCTTCTTGTTTTTCTGCCTTATCTTGATGCTCCAGTTCACAGGGGGAACCTGCCAATTCTTGCCTGCTGCAGAGCGGATTCCAGGTCTCCCTTTCATCGGGACGCCGAGATCTTCGGTTTTGCTCTGCTGCTGTTATGAGACGTGGGCAGGAGAGGAGATTCTGGGAAGGCGGTGTCCGCACATTTGCATCGGACCTTCAGACACTGGGGGCTCCGGGGGTCACCTTGGCAAGGGCGGGCAGGGTGGTGGCAGCTCCCTTCTCGGCTCCTTCCGCGCCAGCTTGGCCAATTCAGGTGCACTTGCAGTAGTAAGCGGAGATGGCGTCGTTCCAGTTACCAAAGAGCCCTCTTTTGTATTCTTGGAGCCGAGGATAGGCCCCCGTTTTAAATTTTCGCGTGCTGCCAGTTTTACCCTTCTTGTACCAAACAGTGAGCTCGCAGCGCGTTGCCACCACCAGTGAGGAGATCTTGTTGTTGAAAGCTGTGGGCATGTAGGGCTGGTCTTCCCCAGCTGGCACCACCAGAACGCTCCCCGCGCAGCACAGGTCATAGTAGGGGCTGTCGTCGGTATACATCTGGGAGCAGATCCTGGTGCCGTTGGGGTTCTTCAGGTCCGCAGGGGCCGGGCACTGGGCCTGGCTCATGGCAAAGAGCAGCTGGAGGAGGAGGAGGAGGCTGAGTAGGGCCTTCATCTCGGCAGCAGCTGGGAAGAGTGTGTGCAGTCCCGGGCAAGAGGGTGGCTTTATAGAGCTGCCCTCCTGCAGGCATGGCGGGCGCAAGGTCAGCCCATGGAACATGGGCTGGGCTCCAAGGTCGCAGGGGGGAACGGGCCAGCTGGGATGCGCTTTCGAAGGCGGCCTTGGCGGCTCCGGAGATATGCCAGGGCCAGGGCAGACTCCGGTGCCAACTTCGCAGGTCTGCCCTGCGCCCCTTCATCTGCCCTGCTGACGGGCGGAATCGATCTCCAGGGCGGCGCCGCCGCCTCCCTCGCGGGGGCTCTCAAGGCTTCCCCG